GCCTCCTCGAACACCGGCGCGTTGTCGTTCACGTCCGACACCTCCAGCACCAGCTCCGTGCTGCTCCACAGCGCCGGCCGCCCACGGTCCCGGGCCACCACCGTCACGCGGTGCTCGGACGCCTGCTCGCGGTCCAGCGCGCTCGCCGTCACCACCTTGTACGAGCCGCCCGACGACGCCACGATCGACAGCGGTGCCTCTCCCGACAGCTCGCACGACACCTGACCGTTCTCGCCGGAGTCTCTGTCCCGCACTTTCAGGAGGGCCACCACGGTGCCGGTCGGAGCATCCTCGGTCACGGGACTCGACAGCGACAAAATGGTTATTTCGGGCGTGTTGTCGTTCACGTCCGTGATATCTATCTGCACTTCGCACTTTTCGGTGAGTCCACCCCCGTCCCTCGCCTCGAGGTCGAAGATATATTTACTGTTCTCCTCGAAATCGAGGGGACCCGCTGTCCTGATCTCACCACTCTCACTGTCGATGCTGAACAACATAGCGACGTCGTCTGGGACGTTGCCGAAGGAGTAGGAAACCTTCCCGCTGGAACCCGCATCCGCATCCGTGGCCAGCACCTGCAGCACCAGTGACCCCACCGGTAAATTCTCTGCCACTCGCGCCTCATAGATTCTTTTGCTGAACACGGGTGAGTTGTCGTTGGCGTCCGTCACGTTGATGCGAACTTGGACAGTCCCAGACCTCGCGGGGTCCCCACCATCCACGGCCATCAGCACCAACTCAAAGGAGCTCTGCTTCTCTCGGTCCAGTGCTCTCTCCAGTACTAATTCAGGCTGCTTCTTTCCACCTGGGTTCTCCCTCAAGGCCAGAGTGAACGACGGGTTGCTGGTGAGTTGGTAAGTCAGAACCGAGTTGCTTCCTACGTCGGCGTCTCGTGCCATGTCCAGAGGAAAACGAGCACCGGGAGGAATCCATTCACCTATATCGAGGTCCAGAGCAGCGTTCCTGAAGACCGGGGAATTGTCATTCACGTCCTGAATGTCCACCTCAACACGGAAGATGTTCATCGGGTTGTGCACCAGAGCCTCGAAGCTGACGGAACAGGTCGCCGACTCGCCGCACATCTCCTCCCGGTCCAGTCTCTCATTCACGTATAGATGCCCGTTTTCCTCATTCACCGTGAAGTATTGCTTCTCCTCGCTCAGCCGCAGCTTGCGCGCCGGCAGCTCGTCCGCGCTGAGCCCCAGATCCCGCGCCAGCGGCCCCACGAGCGAGCCTCTGCCCAGCTCCTCGGGGATGGAGTAGCGGACCCGCTCCGCCGCCGCCCGGCAGCACAGGCACAGCAGCACCGCG